ATAAGTGGTTTCAATTGAGAAAAATGAGGTTGAGAATAAGGGAATCATTCTCAGTCAATTATTTAATCTAACCATAAAAGACACGGTGACAAACTTGTAAATATGATACAAACATTCAATCTCAAATATGTAACTGTAGAGAATTAGATAACAATTCAAACACAATCCTAATTGATCGTTCATCATCCAAATTTCTTCTCCAACCTTCAACAATCATCCAAAGTTTTTCAATTAAACCATCATCAACGTCATCTAGTGTTAATCAATCATCGATCATCGTCAATAACATGTTTATCAACACCATTCAACAGTTGACAACCAAAATTCGTTTTGGTTATTTTAATCTGACCTTCAATTCTGCTTGAATACGATCAGATCTTCAACATCTACGATTAATTATACTTCGAACGTCATTAGATCAACATCGTCGATAATAAAAAAATCCACTTCATATCATTATTCAACATCGATCATCAAATAAAACTTCAAAATTGAGGTTAGAAAAATATCAAATCGTTTGTTTTTTTGAAAAATTTCGTATAATTCTCTATCAATCTACTATTTTGTAAGATTTAAATAGTCAAAGAATCATGCTTTTAACGTTTTTAAAAAATTTAACTTGTATGCACCAAACTGTTTGATGAAATGCATAAACTAAATTATCACGTTATATTCGCATACGAATATGTTTTCTCACCCGAATTAGTATATGATTATTAAAACACAAAATAAATATGCAAGTGTGTATGTTATTCATTTGTGAATAACATATAAAAATTATATATATTTGTAAAAATACATTGTAATATTCATATGCGAATATACTGTGTAATATTCATAAATGAATATATCATATAATATTCACAAGTGAATATATTATGTAACATTCACATGTGATATACTATGTAATACTATGTAATATTTACATATAAAAATATCATCTAATATTTATAAATGTATATATCATCTAATATTCACAAGTGAATATACTATGTAATATTCACAAGTGAATGCATCGTCTAATATTTAAATATGAATATACTATGTTTATTATATGTTATATTCGTATATAAATGATACTTAAATTGTAAAAAAAAAAAATTAATCATACTTTTTATTCGTAAGTAAATAACGAATGTACTGTAGTAGAAATCTGATACATTTTAATCCATTATGAATAACGATAGCTGAAAATATTAAAAAAAAATTATTTTTATTTTAAAGCTATATGAATATAGATGTCTATTTGTAGAGAATAAAAAATCATGAATTTTGGTATATTTAAAATCATTTTTCGATAAAAATAGCTTCTTAAAAATAAAATAAAATAAAAACGAAAAAAAAACTATGTTTTTGCATATATTAAGGAAACATGTTTTGTTGGAAAACACATGTCTATTCCTTTCCCATTTCTGCTGGTACGATGAAGGATTTTGCGGTAAAAATAAATGACTGACTGAGAATGATTCCCCCATTCTTAACCTTTTTTATTTTCTCAATTGAACTTACCTCTTTCTCTCTCTCTCTCTCTCTCTCTCTCTCTCTATATATATATATATATATATATATATATAATGTATTAGTTATTTATAATAGAATAAAGTCATTAAATAGTCATGTTTTTAGATTCATTCTGTATATAAATATACTATATATAGTACTTGTGGATAAGCCTATAAAAAATGGTAAACCGTACCAATTGAGACCAGATGCTCATGCTAATCCATCACAAAGTCCATGTACGAGGTCAATCACTGATCACTAACACTACTTTGAGTGTTCTAGGCTTTAAGCCCTGAACATCTTGTGTAGAACTTCACAAATGAACCATTAGACTTCGATCGCAGGGGCTCATATAAGCACGTAAAAACACAGACTTGAGAATGTTGAGGGTAGGTAAGGTAGTGGATAGGGAGGCATATGGAGGATATTAAGGCTAAGAATTTATACCTTAAATGCAGGTTCCCTATAACATTTAAAAAAGCATGATAAAAATTTTCATTTTTAAAACCATCCCAAAATCCACAATTTTCACAAAACATTATTTCCTTAACTAAAACTATGAATCAGAGTATCCCAAAATCATAAGTCAAAAGAATCTGCGATGATATGCACAATCACGCCTTCTCCTTGCCCCTGTCTTCTGATGTACCTGAAACCATAAAATCAAATTTTAAGCTAAAGCTTAATGAGTTCCCCCCAAAGTCCCCCCCCCCCCCCCCCCCCAACCAACACATACACAACCAAATAGATAACATCATGCATACATGAGCCTTTAGGATGGTCCAAACAAACAAAATCTAGTCTTTAAGTCTCAAATGGATCAAAAATGCATCTTTCTCAAGTTAATCCATTACGTCCAAGTCTCAAATGGGAGTGATGACTTGAGAGTGACAGGGTATAGTGATGCCGGTTTTCAGACCGACATAGATAACTTCCGCTGTCAATCGGGCTGGGTATTTACCCTAAATAGAGGAGCAATTACTTAGAAAAGTTCCAAGCAGGAGACCATGGCTGATTCAACGTGCGAATCAGAGTACATAGCAGCGAGCGAAGCGACGAAGGAGGGGATATGGTTGAAGAATTTCATTAGAGGCCTTTGAGTTGTACCAGCCATAAAGGACCCTATGGAGATTTTCTGTGATAATGAAGCAGTAGTTGCCTTAACCAAGGAAAGGAGGGATCATGGAAGATCTAGACATATCGATAGAAAATACCACTTCATCATACATCGGGTAGAAGAGGGACTCCTGGTAGTCAAGAGGGTAGCGTCAGAGGAGAACCTAGAAGATCCACTCACAAAGGGTCTGAGCAAGGTTAAGCATTTGTAGCATGCTAGAGCATTGGTCTGAAGGAAGATATTTGTTTACTATCTTGTGTCAATTGTTTACTATTGTTTCACTTTTACATGTTTTACTTCCTAAATAATTGGATTGTTCAAATTATTCACAATCGATCATACTTTGGGAGTAAGTAATGAGGCAAGACTGTCATGAATTGGTTTGTAGATTGTCTAATTCTTTAGACATAGCAAAGGTTTTGCTGCAACAATTCATGAGTACTTCTGAAATAAGATTTGAGTATTGGATTAAAGCCACACTCATATGAATCACGAGTGATTGAGAGCACATAATATCGTATAATCTGTAAACCGAGATACATGAGTTGTTGTTTATGAGTTGGTTGTGCATTGATAATGCGTAAACGCATCAATAACTTGATGCTATAAAATGTATTGTTGTGTACAATTTGATGAGTAAATAGTACAAAAATATAAGTCAATGTTTATTTGTTCCTTTTATCCAAAGAGGGGTAAAAGTGATATCTTGGGCCGCTCGATGATTTTGTTTTGACTTATGTGTCGGGCCCGGTCAGGACTGAATTGATGTGTTCATTCAAATTCTATGTCAAACATATTAGAAATCAAGAAACAAACTATTGGACATTAAGTATTACTCTATTCCATGTCTTTGTCTACATGATATCCTGCAGAACGGATGATTATATAATCCCATATCTAAAGGACGCATCATTTGACTAGGTTAGAGTTCAAAACGGATTTTAAGAGCTACGATTGCTAATTGGATTTTGAAGTTGCATTGGCAGTTGTAGTTATCAGACTTATCCAAGTGGGAGACTGTTGGATTAGGTGTCTAAATCCATAACCATAATTGGGATGTACTTGACCCGATAGTAGCATGGTCCATTTGGGTTAGCTTCTCCATAGCAACGTGATAGGATGATTTATTGAGAAAAAGGTTGATAAATAATTTATTAATATATTATAAGAATAATATTTAAGTGAGAAATCATATCATTTAATTAGTATTGATCATAAATTAATTTGAAATTAATTTAGTGATCAAAAGAGACTGATCAAAAGAACGGGAACTGATTATGTAAATCAATAATAGTTGTAGTTTGGGCTAATGGGTCCTATTGGTATAGGATGGACGAAAATCTTTGGGGAGCCCATAGATTTTTCGTCCAAGGCTTACCATATAGGAGTCCATGTGTTGTTTAGGGCCTAAGCAAGGGAATTAGGGTTTCCAGTTGAAAACCCTAGTGAGCCTCAACTATAAAAGGAACCCCAAGGCTCCTAAAATCGGCCACTTCATTCCTTAGAAGAAACCTTGTCCGAATTGTGAAGCCTCCACCTCTTTCTCTTGTTCATCCATTGCTAGTTGGTGTTTGTGACTCCATTATAGGTGAAACAATTGAGGCACTAAGCTCTTGAAGGTAAATATCTACAATCAACAAAGAAAAGGTATTCTTCTAACCTTGTTCAGTTATCAATTTCGAAAATTGTATGCTAGATTAGGGTTTTGCTTTGGATAATTTAATTTGCATGTATAACTTGAGAGAAACTAGATCCAAAGCAATTAGGTTGAATGTGCACCATAGGAATGTTGTAATGCTCAAAACCCATCACGTAATTCAACGAGAAACCATCCAAGCACTTCTAAATCTCTCTTGATTCCGAAGGAGGAGATCGATGCCCGGGATCAATCTGAATTTCATGTTAATTTCTAATTAACATCACAACAATCCCACAAATATAATTTGTTTTATTTCTTTTTCTTTGGCACACTATTGCATAAAAATCTTTATGATTTTTCAAAGTCGGGTTCTAATTTGTGTTGATTATTGTTATCTAGAATTCTATTTATGGATGACTGGCTGATTGTTCTGAAATTTTAGAGCTGAAAAGGCGGTTTCTTGGGGATAATATTTTAAATTAAGGCATGTCTTTTTTCACCGCCTGACATCACACGTGCCACTTGTTACATCACCTGACATGTACAGCTGTCACGTATTTCTCGACTACTTTACATGGATATAGGAACGTCAAATGATGGATTTTTCTCTCTCCACTTATCATAGACGTATAAAAGGAGTTTAACATTTTATTTTCTCTCACCGCTCTCTTAAAGAATTCAAACTCTCTCAAAGCAAAACCCTTTCTCTCTCTACTATTCATCATCGTCTCCACTGCTTCCATGGCTGGTTCATCTGAGACTACCTCGTTTGCTGATCAATCTGCTTCCGTGATGATGTTGAACATGAAGGCTCACCAAAACCTTACCCTTGATCTTGATTCCTCTCGATATCCTAAAGCTTTAAGGCCTATGATCGAATATCTCTGTTTCTCACTACTGGCTCAAACATTAACCATGGCTGAAATTGTACCCTTCGTTCATCTGTCGAAGGCGTACACTATTGAAAACTACATTCAGGTTGATGGGATTATTACATTTGAGGTTGCTTCTCACAAGACTTCGATTTCAAAAGCCTGTTTCTATAGATGTCTAGGGTTTACTGCTACTGAAGGGCTGGGTGATCCTAACTCAATTTTTTCTTCTGCACTGATTGAGATGTTCTACCAGATGGGGTTTATTGGCGATATCTCACTTCTATCAAAGTTTAGGAAGTCAAGTCTACCTCCTATGTGGAATGGGCTTTTCACGTTGTTGTTCAAAGAGCTTATCTGAAAGGGTTACTGGGTTTGATATTGCTAGTAAGCTATTTTACACCTTCTATGGTCTTTAAATAGGAATCAATTTGGACTATGGTGCTATTCTTTGGACTCAACTTGTTCATAACACTGTTTCTTCGACACAACATTCTGAGATCTTGTGTACTCGGTTTTGGTCTGTCATCGTCAAGCGAGCACCAGGGGCGGAACACGAAAAGTAAAACTAGGGGGGCCGAGAGATATCTTAATGAAATACAAAACTAGTTTGGTTTTATTTCAAATCTACCTTGTATGTGACTTTAAAAATAATTTAAGTAGTTTTACAAACTATTTTATAATTAATAATTTTAATGATACATATAGAATTAACAAGTCAAACTTATTGAAAATAAGGAAAAAGACTATATTTATATTTGTTCATTGGTTTTTATGTTTTTCGAAACAAATTTGTACAACTTCATTCCTTTGGTTTGAAGAGTCTTTTTTTTACAACACAAATTACACACATGCATAAAATGTTACACATAAAATTAACAATTCTAAAGAAAGCAATTACCTCATAAACTAAAACGATCGTATAGAATCAATAGTCGAAAAAACATGTGAAATTGACAATCCTAATAAATTATAGTATTAAGATTTGTAAATCCTAATGAAAAGTAACAGAAAAAACCAAAAAATAAATCATATTTTGATTATATAAATACAACTATAAAGGAGGCATTAATTTTTGATAATTTCAATATTCATAAATCACATCACATTACAGTAAAGAAGAAAAGCAGTTACAAAAACCAGAAGCTTCTGGCTTCTGCTCACAACTCTTAAAATAGGTAAAAAAATAAAAATAAATAAATAAAGCTTTTCATATATCCTATCCTATTCACTTAATAAAAAAACGCAGTCGAATAGAAAGCCATTAACATAGCTAGAAATAGAGTGGAATGTGCATACAGTGATGACGATACCTCAAAGACGAGATAAGCGGGATGCAAGGTCGGTCAAACACATAGGCAACGGGGAGCAAGGGTTGCAGACAATAACTTGAACCATTCATAAGGCAACTATGGGCAATCGGAGAGGTGTGAATAAGGTTTCTTAATTTTACTTTATAGCTTTATTTTTTCAATTTTTGTGGGCTTTCTAAAGTTGAGATAAAACAGGTGGTGTTGGTTTTTTTTTTCATAGTTTAGAGAGGGGTTTAAATTGTTTGATATTTCGATAGAATTTGTAAAATTTTGAATTTAGGTTTTAGATTATTAAGTATCCTCTCACAGTCTCTCAAAATTTTCTCTATTGTTATACTATAAGAAAAAGAGATACGAGTTGATTGCTCCAATAAACCTTATTCTTTGGCAAGATATATTTCTATTTTTAAGCTTGTAATGAATATTACTCTTTAGTAGGCAAAAAAGCGCAGGGGCCATGGCCTCCCCTGGCCCCTTCAAGCATCTGCCACTGGCTAGCATTGATTCACTTCTAGGTTCTGGTGGTAGAAGATTTGGTTATGGCTACAATTCCAATTCTACAAACGTCCTCTTTTTTAACCTATGATCCAACCAAGTTCAGCTTTGTGGGTTATATTCTGAAAGCCATGTGGTTGAATGTTCCAACTGACAATGTCATCGTGAACGAGTACCGAAAGCTTCCTGCATCTGGTGTTTGATCCATGCCTGAAGACCTCGATAAAGCTATTGAAGAGGGTACCAAAGCGAAGAGGGGAGGTAAGAGAAAAGTAAAGGCTACTCCTTTGGAAGTAGTACCAAACTGAAGAAGGTCAAGAAGCAAGCTCGTAAACCGAGATCACCTTCTTCGATTGCTCAAAAGCCTTCTGAATCAAGAACTCACTCGGATGTTCGGAGGAATGAACAAGTTCACAAGGAAGTTGAGGATATAGCTGCAACTTTAGAACCATTAGTCTCAGAACCAACTTCTATTGAATCTATTTCGAAGGTATCATCTCCGATTTCAACTTCTGTTCCTTTAACTAATGATTTCATTCACATGCCCACTCCTCCACCTTCTCCGAGTACCACTTCATCTCCAATTATAGCCAATACACCTATCACCATTGCTCCATTACCAATTTTTTCTGTTTGAGTTTCTCAACCATAAATTTTTGTACCTTTATCCACTCTGTTGTATACCGACTCCATAGCAACCACGACCACCATTAGTACTCCGATGTTGACTGTCAACGTATCTGATACTCCAGGCATATGATTTCGGTGTTACTATTGGTCTAAGAACTTTAACAGCTTCTCCTCTACACGAAGATGATCCAAATGTTCTATATGGGGATGATTAAGATGATATTTAGAATTTCATTTTTAGCCCATTCACAGTCCATCAAGAAAGCGATGATGATGAAGCCTAATAACAAAAGGGCAGTTTAAAACTTTGAATTAAAAGATGGAAAAGATTTTGGAGTCTACCAAATCTTACACCAATTATGAGTACATGTTACAATCTTATTAGACCACTATGGAAATGCTAACCAAAGAGAATGCGAAGGTGCTTGCTGCCTCAACCAAGACTATTGAGGCATATGAGAAAACCATTGCTGATAAGACCGAAAAAGTCAAAAAACTATATGCTGAAGTCAAACAGTTTATGGTTGATTTCCGAAGCTCAGGTGATAAGAACACTGAAGAAGCCAACAAATTCATTACAAGTCTTGGAAATACTTTATAAACTGAGAGAGAAGCCTTTTCTCATGTTCGACGTGAACTGCAAACTGACACCTCTGAGATGATTGTTTCTGTTGTTTCAAAGATCGAGCAGCTTCAGAAGGATCTTGCTGCTGAGAATGCCATCATGGATAAGTTGGATGTGAAGACTAAAAAGGTCAAGGTTGTTTCCCTCAAGCTTAACAATGTGAATAAACACTTGGATGATATGGAGTCTGAGAAAGTTGTCATCAAAACCTATGTTTCCGAAATTAATCAATATATGCATCATATGGTGGAAACTCGGGATTCCATTCTTACCGTTTTGGTTCGCCAACACCTAACTGAGAAGCTCAAGCCAGGTTTTTCCATGTTAAACCAAAACCAAGGGGAGAACAGGTTAAAGAGAAGGAATAACCTAAGTCTCAGGTTAAGAAGCCTACTGATGAACAACCTAAGCCCCTAATTAAGAAGCCTACTAGTGAACAACATGAGGAAAAATCGAAAATAGATCCAAAGGTTAATGAAGCTTCGATCTAAAGGGAAAGAAAAATTGATAGATGATGATGATGATCATGATGAAGTTCTTTTGGGGGTGAAAAACTGTTAAGGAAGAAATGAGACAAGGTGCTTGATGATCTTCCGATTCTTCGTAAAGAATTAGAAGCAAAGGAAGCAAAAGCTAGAGTTGCAAAAGTTACTCTTGCGACACAGATGTCACTATTTCCTCCATGGACTCCTAAACGAATTGAGAAGGAAGAAATAGATGATCCGAGCATTAAATGGTTGGAGCCATCTGTTTCTTTTGAACTAAACAATACTTTTGATTCTCAACTTGACTTTCCTCTCACTCCGAAAGCCTTCTCATTCCGAGACTTTGAACATATTGAGAAAGCTCTACTATTAGAATACGATGTCAATAATAACTTTTTCTCATTTTATCTCAAGCATGGTCAACCTTAGTACAAAATATGGAGCTTAAAGAAGATGGTCGTAGTGAAAATTTATACTCCTTTACCAGCTGAACACTTCATAAATATCAAATTCAAAGGTTTTCGAGGAACAGATTGTGCTGAAGAGGATTTCACACTTGCTGATCTACCCTATATGAATTTGAATGACTGGATTTCGTTGTTTCTAATCTTATTAAAAGATGAAGTAAAGTATGAGTCAATCGTTTCTCATCTAAGAAGAATGTTGATTTGCTACATTTATGAAGTAGCAAAGCTGGTTGTTGAAATTGCTTTTGTATTGAAGAAGAAACAAGTTGTGAATCCGAAAGAAGATACAACTGAATTTGAGAAGAGAAAACTGAGTAAAATGAAGAAAGCAGATTGGAGAGTGGTATATCAAAGAAGAGAGGGTGATAAAGTTAAGAAGAGTTTGTTCTTTTTACTAGACAAACATTTATACTCCGCTACAACCTTGAACCATATCATTAAGTTAACCGTAACATGCAAAGTAAATAATGAAGGAGATCTGAAATGCTTCTTTGATATGATCAAGTGGTATATTATCATTCAGAACACACTTCTAATGACCAAGTTGTTCAAGGTTCATAAGGTTCAACATTGAAGAATCTCCTTTCTTTATTTGACATAAAAGGGGAGATTTTTGGGTTATTTAATGTGTTGTGTCAAATTTTTATGTACGTAATTAGTATTATGTTAACGGATTGGGCCTGTCCATTCGTGTTTATGGTTTTCTTGGGTTAGACTATTTAACGTGAATGCATGTATTGTTTTAGGGTTAACGTTTATATTGCCATACCTAGCTCTCACAGAGAAGTTCACTCTGAACTTTTCTAGAAGTTTGATAATATTAAGCATTCGGCACATCTTTGATCTTTGTTCTTGTTGTTTGATTCACTTTACTGTTTAGAATCTATCGATCATAAGTTTATTGTTTCATCAGCTGCTCACAAGCCAGCTGTTATGACCTTCACACTTCTTCTTACCAACTCTATACTTGATACATCAAAAGAAGTATTTTCACATACATACTCATCTCTTACATAGGGAAGTCACACACTCCCAATGCTTATAACTTCTCATTTCTCTATGACACTTGGTCATCTCATCCTCTACTAGGATTTGTCACACCCCCAAACCAAGGATGGCGGAAACGTCCGGGGGTGGAGGACTTCATGTATAGTATCACAACCACAATTTCAATAGTAATTTAAGCAAACACAACCAACATATATATAATTGAAAAAGTTACATCGCTTGTATGAATTTCATGTTTCAAAATCAATTACAATATGTTGACAAAAATATGAAAAGTTTGACGCCTTAACGTCCCATCCTCAAAAGCACTTGTTTACCTGTTTAGTGTTATCCTGAGAATACAAGTTGTTTGGAAAGTGTCAACACAAAGGTTGGTGAGTTCATAAGCTTTTATTAATAAACTTAGTAGAAGTCTTTCACATGTAAATGTCGCGTTTGTTTCAGAAAAATCCGATATTTTCCTTGAAATCCGAAAAATGTAGCCTTATAACCAAAGACTAATATGTATAAGAAATCATCATTTCTTAGTAGAAATGTCGTGAGTTTAAAATGATATGGAAAGTAAATTTCTTTATCAACCTAAAACCTACTTAGGTTTTATGAAACCCCATAAAATTTATGAATTGTTATCTCCCTAGGTGAGTCGCTATAATCATACTATGACTATGTGAACCTGCCACAACGTTTCTCAGGCGTCGCGAAAATGAAATGATATTTGTCACCCGTAGACCTGCAGGTCCCACTGTAGCTAGCAGCAAGGTGTGGGGTGTCAAACCCAATATAGATCTATATACAAGTATCACGTTCTCCCTCAAGGAGATTCTGATTACAACTACCAAGAATTATATCCCGCACTCGGACGTACGGGGAGAGAGAGAGAGAGTCTCACTACATAGGTTAACAAGTTTACGTGAAATGTGTGTGGATATAAATCTTTCTTGTAGGAATGTACCCTTTTTGTACGAGTGTGTTGAGTGATGTATCATAAACTATACCTATTATAGTTTATCTAAAATGTATATAATATGTATGAATTCTTTATGGAAATGTATTAGTGTTGTGAATTTATCCAACTATACTTTTTATAGTTACATAATACGTGTTATAAATGAATGAATAATATTTAATATGAATGACTTAGTTTCAGTTCATAATGATAAACTAACAAGGAAACACATTCAAATATTAGAACTTATGATTATACACTTTGCTCAACATATTACAAAGTGTTATGATATTTACATGCTGTTGGCTAACTTTAGCAATTCTGCGCTGTTTTGGAAAAATCATAGAAAAATCATACGAAGTCGAAAACTAGATCCGTAAATTCTGAGAGTTCAAAAAATGTGTCTAGTTTACTCATAATTTTTATCACGATTTTTAATGACCTCCAACTTGGGTGAAAATGTCCATAATCACAGACTGGTCCGGATTGTTGTTTGAAATGATAGGCAGTTTTGTAAAAATCACCATAAATTGTAGAAAAATCGTATGGAGATGTGCAAGTAGTCATTTTAAAGCTACAAACTTGAACTATTTGCACCTTGTACAGTTTTGAAAACAAAAATGTTTAAGATGCCCAAAACAGTCCGTGAATGGAGTTGAACTTTTCTGATGAAGGCTGTTAGAAAATTTTAATTATGTTCTTAGTGTTTTAACTTGTACCCCCCCCCCCCCTGAAAACTTGAGAAAACATGAAAATGTAGGGGTATGAACTCACCTTAAGTGATTTCAGTAGGTAAGTGTTGAAGAAGAGAAGTGTTCAACCCAAGAACACTTGAAGAATCACTTGAAGATTCGAAGATCTAACACAATTATGAGAGAGTTTGTTTAAGATATCCATGATTCGAGTGGAAATAATTGAGATAATCATAAAGAGAATGGATCATTCTTACCAAATGTGGAGGAAAATCCAAAGATCAGCCCTCAAATCTCGAGTTCTAGAGAGGGAAATTTAGAGAGAAAAGAGTTTGATCTTTTTGGTGAAAAGAAAGAGGAAATGAGAGAAATGAGGAGAGAGGGTGAATATTCAGCTCTCCAAAAACGTGGGGAGGAGTGATGATTGAGTGGAAAGGACATTGATGTGACCTAGGTAAGGTGGGGAGGTGTGGCTGGTCATAGAGTGAGTGTGGGAGTGGTTGCTTGTGTCATAAAGTAAAGCAAAGTCAACACTCCACCTCTTTGTACTTTACCCAGTTGCTCTTATTATTTAAATAAGGATTTTTATGAAAATATGATTAAATTGAGAATATTTAGGGTTTATTATGTTAAAATATGATTTTGGGTGAAAATCCCGCGTTAAAATAATTAAAAACGGGCCTTAAATGCAAAACTATGCGAAAACCGGGAAGAAAATGAGTTCCCAGCGAGACCTCTCGGTCCTAGGCCGAGGTTCGGTCCCTAGGCCGAGGCTCGGTCCATGCTGAGGTTGGAGTCGGAAGCGAAAGGCGCGAGTCAGATGCGAGAAGTGAAGGGCGAGGGTCCGGTCCGAAGGGTCAGTAGCGAGGGTGGGGGTTCGGTTCGGGAATAAGAGGCGAGAATGTCAGAACCGAACGGACTGTAGTGAACAGTAGTGAACAGTACCTTCGGTTCGGTTAGTGAACAGTACCTTCGGTTCGGTTCCTCTTGAGCAGGGTTCGGTTTCGGTTAGTGGTGAACAGTACCTTCGGGTTCGGTTCGGCTCAGGAGGGTTCGGTTCGGCTCAGGAGGGTTCGGTTCCTCCTTGCTCTAAATCCCTAAGAGGACCTTCGGGTCCTAAGAAGCTTCTCTCTTTCTCGAGAGGTTTCGGTTCCTAATGTCTATTTTTCTCGTTTTTACCCCGTTTTAAGCTGTTTTTGACACGGTTAAGCGTCGGAATGACCCGAATGATTCTAAAAAGTTACGGGAACTATTTGAGAGAGATTCGGGAGAGATTTCTCACACTTGGAGAGATTTGGGAGATTTGACATTCTTGGAGAGATTTCTCATACAAAGAGATATTTGCGAGAGTTTTCACATACTTAGAGGGATTTGGGAGAGATTTGACATTCTTGGAGAGATTTCTAATACAGAGAGATATTTGAGAGAGATTCCGCATACTTGGAGAGATTTGGGAGAGGTTTGACATAGAGAGAGATAGTGTGGAAACGATTGAGAGAGGTTCCATGTGGGATAGTTGTGAGTGTCCGACATCGAAATGCATGGTTCGTGAACCCTGTTAAGCCTTGTTTAAGGATCTTACACACTCCCGATGAGTATGCAACATTGTTTTATTGGTCTAGTTCATTGATTAGAACTAGGGTTTAGGAAATTTTTAACACAAGACTTTTCTCAAGTGATGTTTTCCCATTAATATAGCAAGTTATACAGTATGAACATAACACAAACCCTAATACACAAGGTTTAATCGAGTTGACCGGTCTTGACTTGATGACTTGACTTGACTCAAGATTGACGATTGTCACATCATCCCCCCGTTAGAGGGAATTTCATCCCGAAATTTAAATTCGGCTGGGAACTTCAAGGGTTTGGGAAAAGATGTGGATACTTTTGCTTCATTTGATCTTCACGTTCCCAAGTAAACTCAGGCCCTCGTTTCGCGTTCCATCGAACCTTCACTATGGGAATGCGACTTTGATTTGTTCTCTTGATCTCTCGATCCATGATCTCGACGGGTTCCTCCACAAAGTGGAGATTTTCATTAACTTCGATTTCTTCGAGTGGTATTACGAGTGTCTCGTCAGACAGACACTTCTTTAAGTTGGATACGTGGAAGGTAGGGTGTACATTACTAAGTTCTTGTGGTAGTCGGAGTTTGTACGCCACAGGACCAATCCTAGCAAGGATTTCGAACGGACCGATGTACCTTGGGTTTAGTTTCCCTCGTTTACCGAAACGTATCATCCCCTTACAGGGGGAAACTTTGGAGTAGTACCCGGTCTCCGACCTGGAATTCTAAAGGTTTACGTTGCTTATCCGCGTAACTCTTTTGTCGATCACGAGATGCTTTTAGTCTTTCCCGAATTTGAATGATCTTTTCTGTGGTTTCCCTTATGATTTCAGGCCCAGTAAGGGTGCTATCAGGGACTTGCCCTCTGGCTAGCTGAGTATCTCCAACTTCGGCCCAACACAGTGGTGATCTACACTTGCGACCGTAGAGAGCTTCGAATGGAGCGAATCCAATGCTAGTGTGATAACTGTTATTATAAGAGAATTCGATAAGCGGTAGATGGGTATCCCATGCCTTACCAAAATCTATCACACATGCTCTCAGCATGTCTTCCAACGTCTGGATGGTTCTCTCGCTTTGTCCGTCAGTTTGTGGATGGTAGGCCGTACTCATGTCTAGCCTAGTTCCCAGAGACTTCTGTAGGGACTGCTAGAAACGCGAGGTGAATCTACTATCTCGATCAGAGATAATGGATGTTGGTACACCATGTAGTCGCACGATCTCTTTAATGTACGTCCTGGTTAACTTTTCCATCTTGTCTGTTTCCTTATTGGCAGGAAGTGCGCGGACTTGGTCAATCTGTCCACAACCACCCATATGGTATCCATCCCACCTGATGTCTTAGGCAGTTTGGTTAT